TATGAAAAGACATGTTGCTATTGTTTATATTTTTATGAAACTAAAGTGTCATATATATTTTTTTGTTATTTAATTATGTAAATCCGTGGTCCTAAACCGATCTAATCCGTGTTTAAATGGATTGGTTCGGATTGGTTCCATGATTTAAACGGATTGGAATGGTTCCAATTTTTCAGGAACCATAGATAACGGATTGGTCCTGGTTTTACCCCAATCCAGGCCTGGCCCTGAGATTTCCGGGGCCCAAAGCCAATAATCAACTAATAAATTTTTTGGGCCTTTCACATTTTTTTTTCATTGAATGAAAAAAAAAAGAAAAAAAAAATGAAGATAAAAGACAAAATTTGTGTGAAAATTACAAAAAATACTTAGTATTACATTATAACAATTAATAAGTGCCGTTTGATCCTCGCTCTTCTTGCATTTTTAGAAGCAAATAAATTAATCATACTTGTATAGTCTATTTTTTTACAAAATCATTTTCAATGAATAACAATGCTAATTATTTTAAATGGGCCTTTCAATTTTTTAATGGGTCAATTTATTTTAAGTTAGTTTGGGTCTTCCTTAATTTTTTTTAGATTTAAAATATACTTAATATATTACAATAAACTATAATAGGAGGACCCTTTTTTGGGTCTATTTTCAATGGATTACAATATTAATTTTTTTGAATGAGCGTTGTAATTTTTTAATGGGTCAATTTATTTTAAGTTAATTTGGGCCTTTTTTAATTTTTTTTAACTTAAAATATACCTAATATATTACACTATACCATAATAAAAGGAGTCCATTTTTTAGGTCTATTTTGAGGGGGTCCTAGGCCATGGCCTTATTGGCCAATGCCCAGGGCCGGCACTGCCCCAATCCGGACCAATCCGAACCATGCTCACCCCTAGTTAATCACAATTCATCTAAAATTCAAATTATTAAAGGGAGAGACAACTTTATTATTTATATTATATTCTCAACACATCCCTTAGGTGTGTGACTTTTTCTTTATAAGCCAAAGACTTGCAAAAAAAAAATAATTTAATTATCGAATAGGCGATAAAATTCAAACACAGAATCCATTGTTTACTTTGATATCATATTAAATCGTTACTCTTGTGGCCATAGAAGAAATTTGAAATTGAGCTTTTTTTTTATGAAATGAACAATGCATGAGTATGTGAACAAACATCAACTCAATAGGCAAGTGATAAAGCTCTTTCGCTGTTTTGGAGAATTTATTCTTACAAAATCATGTCAAACTCTTCCTACCATTACAAGTTAATCTTGGAAAAATGCAAATTTGACAACCATCAAGGAAAATTTCCACCAACATCATTATGGTTATTTTTTTCAATCAAACTCAAAGACAAGCTATCCTTGGTTAGTTGTCATAGCTCCATCGGAACAGTTATAATGAAAAAAAAGACTTATAAATAGAATTTTTATATGAAAAAATTTGAAAACACAGAAAATATTTCCTACAAAACAAATAGGGCAAAAAATGTTACATCATTCTATCTAAAAATTATGTATGAAATTTCTGTTTGTTTATGATTATGAACCAAAATCCTTGGTAAATGTTAAACTTTACATTCGGTGATTCAACCTGTCGCTGTTGGTGACAGGTAAATGTTAAACTTTACATTGGGTGATTCAACCTGTCGCTGTTGGTGACAGAACAACAATGTTGGCGAGTGAGACATTATATATATAATTGCAATTTTGTTTGACAAGACACCTAACAAATTTGAAGAACCTTTTTAAACCTTTCAGTAATAATTGACAAACATCTCTTAATTTTTTCAATATCTTACTACATAAAAGGTGTTCTTTTTGACCCTCACTAAGCGGTAATCTCCACCATTGTACGTAATATGTCCTCTTTAATCTTTTTGTGTTTTTTTTTCTTCTTTTCTTACATATCCTTTTGCCTTTTTTTTCTTCATGCATATCTTGTTGTCTTCTTGTGTTGAATTCTAGCAAGTGATAAGGTGCTACCTTCTTTCTCAACAATGTCAAAAAAAAAAAAAAAAAAAAGAAGAAGAAGAAGAAGAAGAAGAAGAAGAGGAAGAAAAGAAAAGGAAAGAAAGTAGTAATGAGGCCGAACTTGTGCTCAGTTGAGGCATTCTTTTTGTGTGTTTGAATTTGGTTGCAAATGTTACACTAATTAATAAATTTTACAATTTTTATGACTAGTTGATATGACACTTATCATAATCAAAACTTCAGAAATTGAAACATAATCTATTTTAATAATATCATAAGTGCTGAATCAATAAATAAAAAGAAAAAAAAATTATAAGATTTGCTAGTTTGTATATAATTACTCTTTTCTTTGTCTTTTGCAAATATAAAATTAAGGACAAGTTTGATAATTATTTTTTTAGTCATCATTTATTTATTTTTTTTCTTTTTTTAAGATAAAGATGATGCGTTTGACAAATTATAAGAAAATTGCATTTTGTTACTACAAAAGTTCAAGTAGGGTTTGCAATTTTTGATATATATATGTATATATATATATTTACTTTTTATATATTTTTAAACGTTTCTTTTTTTATAGAAAATCATTCTAGGACCTAAAAAGTTAAAGGTTTTGATAAAATTTTAAATAAAAATGATTTTTTTTATTTATAAATTTAAAATGTGACTTTTATTATTTTCGAATAGGGTGGGTCTTTTAAAAAAGTTATTTTTTTTTTCTCATTTGTCACCTAAATAAGACGAACCAAACACTTAATTATTTTTTTAATATTTTTTAGCTTAAATAATTATAAACATTTTTTTTAACAATAACCAAACATATCCTAAATCATAAACACTTGCATATTTGCATGTATTCACATGTGACATTTGAATATATTTGATTAACTCTGTAATTTAATCTTGTGTCCCTAGAATTTTTATTTAGAATGATGTTGGATTGATCACAGTAAACATGTCCAAAAATAATAATAAATAAATAAGAGCATTGTTATTAAAGAAAAAAAAATCAATTAAACTATTAAAGACAACACTTTTTCTCATGTTTTTTCTAATCATCAATTAATCATATCACTTATAGATCATTGGGTTTAGAAAATGGATTTAGAAAGTCAGTTTGTATATCATTTTCTAACAAATTTTTTTTGTATTGGGATCAATAAATAAATTAAATTAAATTAAATTTTAAAAAAAAAACAATAATGTTTTTGGGCCACTTGGCAACATGAATGCAGTATGTTTTCCCTAATGGGTCGCATGGGCCAGGCCCCAGACCAGTCGTGTAAGCATCATATCATTCAGACAAACATTTTATATTCTTTGCCAAACTGACCATTAAAATCATTGTCCGGAATTATACTGTGTTAAATCAAAAGCCTTTGCTCAAATAATGAAAATTTTGAATATCAAAACAATAATAATGTATTTACATGATTTAAAGTTCTGGGTTTATTATTGAACTTGATTTTAGAAGCCTAGAATTTAAAATGATAATTATGTGAACCGGCATTGTAATACTTTTTTTTTTTTTTTTTTTTTTTTTTTTTTTTCACATATTTAATTGATTAAAATAATGTAATGTATTCCATTCAAAGTGTGTTGGACAGGATTCTACTATGTAACCATACAGAAGACCGTGTATTAACCCACCTTATTAAATGTGTGAATAAAATCAGACCCATTTTAATGCCCTTACATGTTTTTTGTTCTGAAAAGTTTAACAAAAAAGCTAGTGAATCCAAAAAAATAGTTTCAAAAATGTGATATGAGTCATTATTAAAATAGATCTGATTCACACATTTCATTTTTAGTATGTATATATATAATTTTGTAACATTGCTGAGATTATAATTATGGATAATTTTTATAGTAAAGACACAAAGAAAGATAAGATAAAATATATATCGGTATAAAATAAATAACGATATTATTTTTCTATTTATATCACTAACAAATTACCGATAAAAATGAGATTAAACGTAAAGGATGATCATTTACCATTATATTCATTTGGTGGCTAGTTCTTGTTTATGGGTCACTAATGTTTGCGTTGTGGAACTAATGTCCTCCAAGGTACTGTTGGCCCTAAACTCATTTTACAGGTTCACCTTCATCCATGCTAAGGTAGGGCCCCATGATTTGAACCCCCACATTTTTAGGGTCAAAAGAATGAGATTTAAGTCCCGACAGGACAAAGGAACAAATCGTATATACCCTCACGTGCCAATACACTCGGTGACTAAAATTAGGGTTTAAAAAAATGTAAGAGATCCAAAAAGCTAATGAACATGAAAACACTTTCAAGAAATGGAAAACACATTCCAAGTAATTATGGGACAGACATTAAATCAATTCATTAAAACCACCTAAAGTCACTTGATATGGGAATCCATTTTTACAACCCCATTCCAGCCTTCTTTTGAATAATGGGGGGATGGAATGTTGTCTATATCACCTTTGCCAAAAGCTAAGCCAAGAAAGAAATATATGGTAATGATGAAAAATCAAGATATAGTGATTTACGTGGTGAACAGATCATATGGTCAAAAGACTCCATGAAAAGATCTATCATAATTGCAAATTGGTACCCAAAAAATAATAATAATAATTATTAAAATATAAGCCAATCTATGCTTTAGTGCAAGTAATTGTTTGCAACAGAACACAGATCCCATTTGCACCTTTTTGTTTTTGCAATTACTTTTATTTTTTATTTTTGAAAAAATTATCAAAAAAATATATGTTTCATCAAGATGAATGTAATGTTGTCACAATGCATTGGTTCTATACTTTAATAGGACCAAACGAAGTTAATTTAGGATGTATTTTAACTTGAAATTAAAATATCTTGTTTGAGATGAGTTTTTTTTTATTTTTTTTTTATTTTTGTGAAAGAAAAAAAAAATAATTATAATTTGAATGTAACATTTTTAACCCATTTTTAACCCATGACTAAAAAATCTATTTTGCCTTTTTCAGCTATCAAGCATCATTTCCTTCATAAAGTTTCCCTCCACCACCACTTCATAATTTCAAGATCCTTCATTTATCTAACTAGGTTAGAAGCATTGAGTTTGAAATTTCTGAAACCAGCTTGTTAACAGACAGTTTACATGTCCCCACCTAGACTTTCCATTAATCCCCCAATTCCTTCACTAATTCAAAAAAGGAAAATACCAATTTGAAACCAACTCCTCTCTCTCTCTCTCTCTCTCTCTCATGATGCATCAGTCCATGCAGCAAAAACAGGCACATGAGGCAGAGACATTGAAGGCCTCAGCTGTGTTGATGACATCCAAGAATTCACAGCACTTGTGGAACTATTAGCAAACTTGGCTGATGCCGATGATGGCGGCATTGTAAAAAGCAGTGGCAGCCCATTCTGTTTATCAGGACTGCCCTCTCTTGAGCTGGCCAAGCTAGTCACCAATGATGAGGCATTCGACAAGTGGTTCGCCATCTTACCCGATTCATCAACCTCTTGCTGGTCCAAACCTATCATTCTGTTCCCAACCAAATCATGATCTGAAGCCATTGAGAAAGATGGATTGTTCTTGCAATTTTCAATACCATCATCCTGCCTCTGGTGCTGATACAATGTCATTTCCCAATTCGATTTGCTTCCGTCGCTCTCCTTTGGGAGAGTGGCTTCCACGGTATGGTTAAGAGTGAGAAGGTCTTGATTTGGAACCTCTTTAATGGATTCGATCTCTTTGTTGCGTCTAGCAAGTTCTCCGGCAAGAAGGGTATTGCTCGCCATGATGCGCTCAACGTCGTACCTTGATATGTCGAAGTTGGTGACGGCATTCACCCCACGAAATTTTATCGCTGCTATGTCATAGGCCTCGGCAGCTTCCTCTTGGGTGCCTGAAATTGTTGTTCAATTAGAACGAGAGTTTTAAATATTAGTTGTTATGCGACAGGTTTTTTGACTTCCAATACCATTATTTACCGATTTATAGGCTAATATTGGCCATTATACCTTATGGCTACCTTATGGCTAACAGCGATAAATATTCCAATACTATTATTTAAAATCATGATTAGACCTTGGTGGAAAAGGCAGCAGAGGATCCCATGTCTGAATGCCAAATGTCTCCAGGCTCTCTCAGAAATCCATGTGATGGAAAGGTTTTTGGCAATAAATCATGTGTATAACACAATGTATTATCCTAATCTTTAGACTTCGATTACATGGTAAAAGTCAAAAGATCAAAACGAACAGCCTTATTTGTAAAAAGCTTGGTCTTGCTGACAAAAACACCCTCAAAGTAGCTCATGAACAGCCTTATATTGCCACTGAGAGCCAGAGATGACCTTTAAATTGTTGCTTTTTTCAAAAAGATTATAAAGCACACCCATAACCTATTTTGTTTTGAAGAATTTAAAATGAGAGAAGATTTGTGAATGATTACACACAAGACAATTAAAATGTATTTGATGAAATAGTTTGTCTGCGTAACTTTAAGATTCAAAAGAACTCACTGAATGTCCCCAAGTAAAGGTCTTTGTTCCCTGCAACTCTGCCAATCCGGGCTTGCCATCGGCCGTGTTGATGATGTCTGTTAAAGATTAAAACAGAATCAGATGGAACAAACAAACACAAGAAAGTAAATAAAGCAATCACACAAGAACACGACAGAATGACTGAGAATTTCATTATCCAAGAAGGAGAAATTACAAAGAGCAGCTGTTATAGCCCTAAACCGAAATAATTCATATCTAATAAGATCTTAACACAACAAAAATTGGGTCTGAGCTAGTGCTGGTCAATAACGAGTCACAAGCATAAATCCAGTAGAATACGAGACACCACAAAGACTAGGGTTATTAATAATAATTCTTTTCAAAAAAAAAAAAGAGCATGTTCTTGCAAGTTGAAACTATGAAAATATAAGCAAAATAGTAAGACCTTGTGACTCCTCTGTACATTGAAGCTCCCCTTGAGAAGCCACTGCTTTTTCTGCAAAAATTGAATGTTAGAGAAAGAAATATATCAAACAACACAAAATTGGGGTGTTATACACAATAGAAGGGCACGAGTCTCCATTGTACCTTCTTAAGTGAGCAACATATTCTTGTCGGGTCATGTTCTTCATATCTTCAAGTTCTTGTTGATAGTTTTCCACCTGCATTACCGATAAACATTCAATGTCAGCAAGAAAATAAATCTATTGACGAATAAACACATTGAGGATCAGAGCACTACAGGAAAATTGATATGGGTTGAAGCTCCCCAGTACTTGAGCGCCGCCAAATCGTAAGCTCTTGCAGCTTTTTCTTCCACATCATAACCCCCTGCAAACCAAAACTAGGTAATTATGTAACCAAAATGAAGGAAATAACATGCTCATGGCTCAATCATTGTCAATGGAAGTCTTACCCAAATAAACTGATAACCATCATTAGATTGAAATGGTACACAGATCAACCAAGGACATGAAAAATCAGTAAAAAAGCTAGGATTAGTCACTCACTTCAAGAACAAAAAAAAAAAAGTCAATTTTTTTTTACATATATCAAATTTTTATTTTTATTTTTATTTTTGACTAACCTTGCCTTCCTTTCCTGCTTTGTCCCTCTTTCTTGCAACTATTGTCCCAAAGATGAGCTTCATATCTACCAGTCCATCTATGCCTGATGAACAAAAAAAAAAAAAAAAACCACAAATAGAAATCAAAAAACACATAATAATAAATTAATAAAAGCCAAACAGAGCTTACAAAAATGACAGAACTAACCTTGTGACACCTCTGTACTGAGAAGTTCTCTGTCCAAATGTATCTATGGACTTCCTATGAACAGTCTGCTTCTGATCAAGCTTTACAGATCCTCTTTTCTTTGTTTCCAAGGCTACACACTCGGTCACAGCGGGTGAGATTTGGTGTGAACCAGTGACACAGCTTGATTGGGACCCAGGGCTCATAGACAAACTCAGAGACTGTAAATCTCCATAGCCCAGTGCACTCATTGACCCAGATTCACCGCCATTGTCCCCCAATCCATGGCTGCCATGAAAATTCCTCGAAACCCAGTTCTTCATTCCACAGATTTCATCCTCTGCCGCCATTGTTGTGATCTGGGCTTGCTTAGTGTCCTCTGTTAATGGGGATGTTTGGTACACCTCATGGCCTCTGAATGCAGAGTAGTCTGAGTATTGTTGGACATGAATCTGGTTTTGTGGTTGATGGTTTAGGAAGTCTTGACTAGTGTTGTTGTTGTTGGTTTCATGATCTGGGTTTTGTTGTTGGTGGTAGTACAAGCTGTCTAGGCTCAGAGCCATGGCTTCTCTGTCACAGCTTTCATAATGATGGGTCCCCATTGTTGCACCTCCAAAGAAGTCTTCCAGTTTTGGTGTTGAAGTTGTTTCCATTCCTTCACATGGAAAAGTCAAAGACACAAGAGTCCACAAGTTCAGACGAGCAGCTCAAGACATTACCCAAAAAAGAAATAATAGAGAGAGAGAGAGAGAGAGAGAGAGAGAGAGAACCTTGGGGGGTTTGAGACCTGGTGAGAGCTTCCATTATACAGAGTGAGCCATCAGACTTGAGTGGCATGACAGTCAAGGGAGAGTAAAAGGCACCATTTTCAGCTTCATGAACTCCATAGCAAGCACCAGAGTAGCTGAAATGACTTGGGGAGTGAAAGAAACTTGTTGGGAGTGCACTGGAAACAGAACCAGAGAGAGAGATATGAGTTTGATGATGAGGCTCTGAAGAAACTCCAATGGTGTTCATATGAGAGGAAGATAGAGAAAAGCCCAACCAGTTGTTATTACTGTTGTTTGTGTTGGTGTTGGTATTATTATCATTGCTCATGGACTTCATTTTCCTTCCTGTCAATCTTTTTTTTCCCACTTAACAAACAACAAGTTTGTTCAATCATTAGGTAACAAATAAACTAATGATATACAAAGAAGTCTTCTCTTTGTTGCTTGGCTCCATTTTGAAAAATGGGTTGTTTTTGTTTTGTAGCTGCAGAGAGGTGGATTAGAACAGCAAATCTAACCATCCATCTGAACAAAATCCAAATACTCTGAATGGGTAAATCTATGCTCACTCTCTGAGGAAAAAAATTTCAAAAGAGAAGAAAGCAAAGCAAGTCCCTTTAAACTAAACAAAAAGAATGAGTTTCAAGCAACGCTGGCTGGGCATCGTTCCTGCATTCCATAGGGATCTGTGTTTGAGAAAGACCTCTTCTTATGCTTTGTTTTTTTCCTTTTTTTCTTTCTCTCCGCTCCTCTCTGCCTCCTCTTTCTTTTCTTTTCTTTTCTAGACATATAAGTACACATGTATAATTATATATCCATACATCCATACCTACGTACATCAATTAGAGCAGGAGAGTTTTTTTTTTTGTTTTTTTTTTTTTTCAAATCAAATTTTCCAAACTCAAATCTTTTTTTTTTTTTCCAATTTATTTATGTCAAATTCAATTTGTTTTCGAAATCAGGTTCACAAAATACCATTTCAAATTTGAAGTCTAAGGTAATGTCTATATTTACAATTTTCAGTTTACATTTACAAATTTTTTAAAAATTGTTAAACATTTGTTTTCATTTTCAAAAAATTGTAAACCTTATCAAATTTTGTAAACACAAATTATTTTGGTATGTCATCATAGTGTATCAGTTTAATAGGTCATATCACTGATGTTTATTATTAATAAAGTAATGACACATTTTGTGATCAACATAATATGACAGAGATTTCAAATAAATAAATAAAACATGATAGAGAAATGAAAAAAAAAAACCCAGATGCTATATAAAGAGATCAAAAAGGACTAAAACCTAAAACAAGAAATGGAAACCAAGAAACCTCTAATTTTCTGAAATCGACTGGACAGCTGACCCATAAAAAAATTGCCCAGTGTTAAATTAGAAAACAAACTCCAACATCCCTCAATTATTCACTAGAAATTAACCAATTAATGTTGGGTAAGCTAATGATGTAAAGGGAGGTATGGCCATATTAATATGATATGATGTAACCACTTTAATGAACTAGATTTTTTCATTCCCACTGTCTTCAGACAGGCCTAGACGAGGAAGGCTTAGAAGTAGATGTTTGGTGAATAAGTTAATGCTCTATATAAAGAGAAATATATGAAAATGGGTGAGAGTACTAATTAGTGCTATCATTAATGATGTGGTAGTGGACCCCACCAGGAATGATTTGATATTTTGACCTTGGTGTTGTATTTTTTTTCTTTTTTTATTGAGTGTCATGTCATTAGTGGTCTTTTTAGAGCTCCAAAATTAGTGATCTTTATCATTGTTGGAGAAACATAATTGCAAAATGCTATCCTTATGTTATTTTAGTAGCTAATAGCTATTCAATAATGTTTAGCGAAAATTTTACGACAATATTAATTTATTTTTGTTAAGTAATTCAGAAATAATAGATAATCTATTTAGTGTATTTAGTTTATGAATTTGAGTAAAAAATTTAAAAGAGAAAAGAAAAGAAAAAAAAAAGAGAAATGTATAAAAAAAAATTAAGTTATATTTCTTTTACTTTATTTCGTTTCTTTATAAATTTTTTACTTAAATTTATGATTTAAACACAGTTTTAATGAATTTTACTCAATCAATAATATAGTGAGAAACTTTACTAACGAGACAATACTAATTCATATTTGTTAGGTGATTGAAAAATAAGAGATGACTCATATAGTACTATGAAACTATTTAATTTGAATCAAAAAAAAAAAAGAAACTATTTAATAATTTTTTTTATTTTATTTTAGTAGAGGATTCTATATAAAAATTTGGAAAAGTTACCCTAACATCTTTTGAAATTTGAAGAAATATAATAAATTTCATAAGTTTAAGATAATTATATTAGATTCTCTTAAAATTTTAATTCATATAACACTTAGTTTATTTTTATCAAAAATTCGTTAGTCGCATGAAAGAAAAAATGATATTATCATTTATTTTATATTATGTATCTTTATGTTTTCATATCACCTGTAATAGTTTTGACCTCTCTAATCTTATTAAAAATGAGATTAATATAATTATACCCGGGATAGATTTGGTGAAGGTGAACCGTTGGAGCCTGAAGTATCAAATTCAGGAAATAGCCATTTTTGAACTCAGAATTGGTGAAATTTTTGATTCACGGTTGGAGATGCTCCATAGTGTATCAGTTTAATAGGTCATATCACTGATGTTTATTATTAATAAAGTAATGACACATTTTGTGATCAACATAATATAATAGAGATTTCAAATAAATAAATAAAACAGGATAGAGAAATGAAAAAAAAACCCAGATGCTATATAAAGAGATCAAAAAGGACTAAAACCTAAAACAAGAAATGGAAACCAAGAAACCTCTCATTTTCTGAAATCGACTGGACAGCTGACCCATAAAAAAATTGCCCAGTGTTAAATTAGAAAACAAACTCCAACATCCCTCAATTATTCACTAGAAATTAACCAATTAATGTTGGGTAAGCTAATGATGTAAAGGGAGGTATGGCCATATTAATATGATATGATGTAACCACTTTAATGAACTAGATTTTTTCATTCCCACTGTCTTCAGACAGGCCTAGACGAGGAAGGCTTAGAAGTAGATGTTTGGTGAATAAGTTAATGCTCTATATAAAGAGAAACATAATTGCAAAATGCTATCCTCATGTTATTTTAGTAGCTAATAGCTATTCAATAATGTTTAGCGAAAATTTTACGACAATATTAATTTATTTTTGTTAAGTAATTCAGAAATAATAGATAATCTATTTATGGTGTGTTTGGTTGGAGGATTTGGGGAGGGATTTGGAAAGGGAATGAGAAAAGGTGTGTGAAACTATGTGAAATATATACATATTTTATTCACATTTCACCTACCTTTTCCATTTCCCTTTCCAAATCCCTCTCCAAATTCCCCAACCAAACACAGCATAAGTGTATTTAGTTTATAAATTTGAGTAAAAATTTTAAAAGAGAAAAGAAAAGAAAAAAAACAAGAGAAATGTATAAAAAAAAAATTAAGTTATATTTCTTTTACTTTATTTCGTTTCTTTATAAATTTTTTATTTAAATTAATGATTTAAACACAGTTTTAATGAATTTTACTCAATCAATAATATAGTGAGAAACTTCACTAACGAGACAATACTAATTCATATTTGTTAGGTGATTAAAAAATAAGAGATGACTCATATAGTACTATGAAATTATTTAATTTGAATAAAAAAAAAAAAGAAACTATTTAATAATTTTTTTATTTTATTTTAGTAGAGGATTCTATATAAAAATTTGGAAAAGTTACCCTAACATCTTTTGAAATTTGAAGAAATACAATAAATTTCATAAGTTTAAGATAATTATATTAGATTTTCTTAAAATTTTAATTCATATAACACTTAGTTTATTTTTATCAAAAATTTGTTAGTCGCATGAAAAAAAAAATGATATTATCATTTATTTTATATTATGTATCTTTATGTCTTTATATCACCTGTAATAGTTTTGACCTCTCCAACCTTATTAAAAATGAGATCAATATAATTATATTAAAATTATAAAATTTACCATATTTTTTCTAAATATCAAGCGAGGTGAATATATTTTACCTTAAAATTTTAGTAAAAAAAATTATAAATATTCAATTACAAAGTGGATAGTTTTCACATGAAAGAAAGGTGAAAACGTGTGGTGAGAACGGAGAAACAGAGAATTAGAGCTAATCACTAAAGCAGTACATTGTCTGTGTCCTTTGACCAACTTTAGTTTTGCAACTCATGTGGAGAGGTATCTACCTCCCATACTACACTGTTGCTGTGAAGCTTGTGACGACGCCGTTTCTAAATTGCCTCGATAAGAGCATGTTTACTGAAATAATTAAGGGGTTGTTTGGAATAATTTAAATAAGTATATTTTTTGACTCTTTACAAAAAAACATGAAATGGAGGTTGTGTTTGAAGTAATGTGGTAAAGAGATGATGTGATTCAAATAAAATGATATGACTTAAATAGGATAGTATTTTTTTGACTTTTTAACATTTTTAGATTATGTCAAATTAGACCTAAATACACAGCCTAAGTATTCGTTAATTTAAAGAGTGAGTGAATGTTTTAAAGTTAAAATGTGCTCTATTTGTGTGTTATAAAATAAAATTATTATAATTATTACAATATTTTTAAAAAGTATAGTGCTTTCATTAGCATGATTAAAAAACATAAGTTGAGATATAATAAGAACAGTATCAATAGAACAACACCAACTACTTCTCTTTTTCTTAAATTATTGGGCTCTCCATAGTTAACAACACTACTTATACATGTAGCTATTGGAAACAAAAAAAAATGAATGTTTGTTTGTTATCTGACTTAATTGCTGACACTAATGAGTCTTTAATAGAATCATTGTAGATGCTCCAACAAGTAATTTTTTTTAAGAGTTTGATTATTTCAATTTCAATTAATTATTAAATTTTTTTTTTTTTTGGGTAATCTTATTGAGCTTATTTGTTATCATAGTATAGTAACCCAAAATGTTAAGGCCATACAAATAAATTCTTTTAGAATAATATCAAGAATCATGAAAAAAAATATTATGAAATCTTTCATGAAGATTTCTCTTCTTTTGATTAGTGTGTGATATTTTTTTATATGTACAATCTAACAGTGAAGAATTTTTTATAATCATTTTTTTGATTTTTTTTTTTTTATGATACTTACTCGTTTTTTTATATATAAAGCTGGTACAAAATGACGTGATCAAAATCAAGGAACAAAACTTTCGAAATGCACCGAAAACAATACAAAATAATATATTGTTGCGAAACCTATTAAGAATACTTTAACAATGATTATTTCTATAGATTTAGAGTGGCCGCTGTGTCTCTAGCACCGTAATCATTGTTGTGCAATTAAATGGATTCATTTTTATTATTTGAACCGTTTACAATTTAAAATATATTGAGTAGAATATACTTGAAAGAAATCAAGTTAATCGAATATTGTCAATCTTTTTATCCACTCACATTTGTATTTATAAAAATAAATGACAATTGTAATTTAAAATATTAAAATGAATACAAATGTGAGTAAATGAAAATGTTAACGAATCTGATTTGTATAATCTAACAGTGAAAAATCTTTTATAATTATTTTTATGATTTTTTTTTTTTTATGATACTTACTCGTTTTTTTATATATAAAGCTGGTACAAAATGACGTGATCAAAATCAAGGAACAAAACTTTCGAAATGCACCGAAAACAATACAAAATAATATA